CCCACATGTCAACCCGTCAACCCTTCAAATCAGGCCAAACCCAACAAGTTACAGTCATTGCCTATTCCCACTCACCCTGGCAGTCTATCTCTATGAACTTCGTGTGCTGTCTCCCTAAGACTGACCGCGAACATGACTGCATCTATGTCATCGTCTGTCGCTTGACCAAAGACGCGCACTTCAACCCTTGCACTACTTCCCACCAAGCCAAAGATGTAGCCACTCTCTTCTTTGATCATGTCGCATGGCATCACGGCCTCCCCGACAGAGATGAGCAACGGGTACCCAGACCTACACCCACCCCACCCACGAGGCATTGGGTCAGGTGTGGGTCTTGACAAGCTGGCATGGGTGGGATAAGGGTGGGTCTAGACGAGCAAGCCTGGGTGGGTGACGGGCGGGTCAATGTTAGGCCAGGGTGGGTGACAAGCAAGTGAGGTCTAGGCCAGGGTTATCCAACCCACAGACCCAGGACAACCTATAAGAACCCTTCCCCCCACATCCCACCCCCCCCCTTATACATATTTCCCAGCTGCGGTCCATCTGTGGACTTAAAGGTTGGAGGCCCAGAAAACAGAAAATCTCCACCCTGGGCCCCCTAGGAAAAAAAGTTCTGGTCCTGAAAAAAAAAACTCGCACTAGTGGCAAATCGAAATTCGGGGTCCTCCTTGAAAAAAAGTGTCACGCTCTACTGGTGGTAGCTGGACCATGGCCGAAACAACGGGATGTTCGCTCCCATTACAACAACAGGGATCAAACCTAACCACAGCAAGTGGCATGCCTTAGGTTCACTACCCAATTTCGAACTTGAGGAGCGATTGGAATTTCTCCAGGCAGAGATGATTCAAAGTTTTGCGTCGTCATCCAAGGATGGCATGCTGCTATGGTTCGTGCAAATGTTCGAAGGGACTGAGACAATGGGGAATAGGCGGGTGCGGGTGGAAAATAATTAGGTACCGGGTGCGGGCGGGTAATTTTGTTCTCATGGGTGTGGGTGGGTCAACGTGAAGTTTTTTTACGGGTGACGAGCAGGTTGGGTGTGGGAGGAAATTTTCAGTAAAACACTCGGGTGGGTTGGGTCACCTTGAGATTTTTTGTTTTTGTTTTTTTAGGGCGGGCTGTGGTTTAAAAATTATGGGCGGGTTCGGTGAAGTGCCAGTTCAAAAAAAAAAATGCTAATCTCTGCTCCCCGAGAATATCATCAGTGATCGTGATCCGCGCTTTCTCTTACAATTCCGGAAATACATTTTCAAAGCATACGGGACCACGCTCAAGTATAGCACTGCATTCCACCCCCAGACTGATGGACAAACTGAAAAGATAAACGATACTCTCCAATTAATTATGTGGAAGTATTGTCATCCACACCAACATGACTGGGATCAGTTGTTCATGGCCGCCGAGATCGCCTATAACAACGCCGTTTGGCCTTTCACTAGCACGTCCCCGTTCTACCTCAACCTCGACTACCATCCTCGCTTGCCCTCCGACTTCTTGCTTCCTTCACAACTCAACCCCTTCACCCCTTGCCCTTCTCTCGATGAATGAATAGCGACAGTGAACCGACTACTCAGAGAAGCTACCGAAGCCCTTGAACGAACACGTGAACGACAAGTCAACAAGACTAACAAACACAGACGTGACATGTCATTCAAAAAAAGGGACAAAGTCTAGCTCTTCGCCAAACGCTTCGAACCCGAACACGACTTGTCCAAGAAACTCTCGAACAAGTGGCTCGGACCCTTCCCCATCATTGAATAAACCTCCCCCATCAATTACAAGCTCCAACTCCCTCCTGACATGAGTCGTGTCCACCCTGTCTTCCACATAGAATACCTAAAAGAATGCCACGAGTCCCCACCCCAATTAGCTGACTGCCCATATCCTCGACCACCACCAGTCATGTTACCCACAGGCCTTTAATTCGTCGTCAAACCATCATCGGACGAAGAACTACTCAAGTATCTGACCACCTTGAACCGATCACAAAATACAAAGTTAAATGGACAGGATACCCTGATGAAGAATCCACATAGGAACCTCTTGCCAACCTTAAGAATGCCATGAAACTTGTTCGCGCCCATCCTATATCCTAGCTACCCACTATGGCTAAACCCTGCCTAAACCCACCTAAACCCTGCCTCCCTGCACAACACACATCCCCTGTACCTGTCAAAACCCTTGCCCCTTGACCTCCCTCTCTCTGATCCACTCTTGCCTCCGTCTCGCCCTGCTCTCCCATCTGTCCTCTGCCACATCTCTGTCCCTCTTGTCCAAGTCCTACATGTGGCCCCTGCGCGTCGCCGGCGATAACGGATCTAATGGCACGCACATGAGGACGATGCCATGCTGCAGCTCAGTATGAGGAGATAAGACAGCTGGTTGGCCACCATGCTGTTACTCACAGACTTCTGAAGCAGCAACTCTGACATGGGCATCAAGATCAGTCTGCGACCTGCTATCCGGATCAGACCTCGTCATCAGATCGTGTACCAGACGCAACCTGCTACTGGGACAATCAAGATGAAGCCCTCACCGTCTACATCACATAATTGCTGAGGACTGCTTCCTCACCGCCACTTCTGTGACACCCTCCAAGACCTTCCTCAAAGACATTTTTTCGCTTTGGACACTTTGCTACAGAGCTGAGACGTTGCTTTCCCAGACCTCTCAGACACCTCAGCACTTGAGCATTGAGCAAACAATTTTTTATTTTTATTTCTCAAACCTGACAACCTTGTAGAACACCAATAGGACTGCCCTGTTACTTGTAGATCGTCAATAGGATTACCCTGTTACCTGAACATTGCTACCCTCGTCCCTGTAGAAGAACCTCAATAGGGTTACCCTGTTACTTGAGCACTGATTCCCTCACCCCTGTAGAACCTCAATAGAATTACCCTGATACTTTAGCATTGATTCCCTCATCCCTGTAGAAACTCCATAGGATTACTCTGATACTTGCATTACTCCCCCTTTCCTGTTCTGACCAGTGATCGGCCCCATCAGTCCTTCACAGTTGTTCATTGGGTCTTTAGCAGCCGGGACGTTGCCTTCGAGAGGGAGGGGATAGTGTTATGGACTCAGCCACGGCTCGATCCCTGGTCCGCGGGTTACCACCCGCGCAGTAACTGCCGTAGAGTTAACCGCCGTAGAGATCACATGGACACAGTCCTGGGTTCCGAACACACTGAGGCCGAAAACTGAAGCTTCAGTGTGACTTGCTGCAACATTGTGTTCGGAGCCCAAGACTGTGACTTTGCGACTTTGCCACTTTGTGTCTGCGTCCATCAAGTCCTGTCGAGTTGGTGTTGAGTTGAGTGAGTGTTTGTGTGTGTGCTCTCACTCCCTCCCTCTCTCTTCCGCGACCTCGCTGCTCTGCCTCAGCCCCGTCACAGTGGAAGCTTTGTTTTTTTTATTTATTTATTGTTCCTTCTGTGAGTTTCACAGCTGTGACTTTTTTTCTTTTTTTTGTTCTTTCCGTGAGAGTACGAGAAAAGAAAATGGAGAAACAGGCTCGGAGGTATGACCAGTTTAAAGGGAAAGAGCTGGACCCAGCAATGCTGTGTCATCCAATGAATGTTCCTGAGGGGATGAACCACAATTTGGAGCCGCACTCAGCCTGTCTTTCAGTGAATTTTTCCCTGAGGGAAAACACACTTCTAGATGAACTTACCCCGTTGTCAACATAACTAATAGACACACTTCAAGATGAACTAACCATGGTCAACGTGGTCAATAAACACACTTCAAGATGAACTTACAATGGTCAACGTGGTTAATAAACACAAGTCAAGATGCACTTACCATGGTCAAAGTTGTGAGGAATGTGTTATTGAAAGAAAAAGTCCCCGATTTGCCCCGTCAAATAGCCAAACATGGCATTATGTCTTTTCTTTCTTCAGGAATCGTGCCTATGCCCCAATGGACAGCTGAGATAACCTTTGAAACAACAGCGTCATTGAAGTAAGGTCATTACTACTCATTAGCAGAATCCCAATCTGTGCGAGTCTACAGATGCCCGTGCATTCAATACAAGTGACAACAGCCCAAAACTTTGAAAACACTGGGTAAATCAAAGACCAGCTTGCAATAACAGAGATCTTGTCAAATCTCCTGACCCCGATCATTAACACTAATACGCCCATCCGCATTGTGTCTTTGCATGAAATGATTTCCTGACAAATCTGACCTTCCCTTCCATGACTGACTGGTCCACAGCCACATTCTCTTTTCTGCTGTGTGTATTTGTCCGTGTAAAGTATGTTGTCATGTGTTTGGACCATTTCTCGATTTATGCTTGCCATCCTTGTGCAGGGGCCATACTAATCTTGTCGGTATCGTTCCAATTTTAATGGATCTCCCAAAGAACGTGTGTTGTCATGTTTGCTATACACAATTCCACAAAAAAAAAAGCATTTGCTTCGTTAGATTTTCACCGACTCGTCAAATCTCTGTCATTCCATCCACAATCATCATAAACCATCCATAAAACGAAAAAAATTATATATAGGCAAGATAGTAAAAGACGCAAGATCGGCCATGTTTGTGTGGTTAAGCGCCAAGTGCCCACACACCAGCCTTCCATCGAAGTGGGTTGTGTGTTTGTGTGTTGTAGATTTCA